AGCCCCAAAGAGGCCAGCCCTGATGATTGACCCCTCAACCAGGATTTCTTTGCACCTTGAACCCTGAAGGTGCCTCTTGCTCTTGCTGAAAGTTCCCTGCAGTGTACTGAGCCGCCAACAATCAAGAAGGACCCATTCTTTGCCAAACACACATCCATTGTTTCCTTTGCTTTTCAGCCATGCTCACAGGAGAAAGTGTCCATGGACGACGACCAGCGAGCCCGGACCAACGCCGAGCAGGTTTTGCGAAGAATGTGCCAACCCAAAAAGTCGGGAAGGCTTGAGGTGAGCTCTGAAGTGCAAAAGGTGTGGCAGAACTGTGGCGCCGGCCGTAAACAGCTTGTGGACGCTCTTCTGGCCTGCAATGGTGACAAGGACATGCATGCACAAGTGTCTCACTGTGGAATGTCGTTTCATGTTTCATCTCAATTGGGAGAGGATGCATTCCAGAAGCGGGTGGAGCACCAGCTCTCCAAATCCCGGAGAAGCAAAACTACCATCCAAGCCGGCTTCTACTCAAAAGAGAAAATGAAGGCATCGCTAGGCTTCTCAGCGCCTGAAGCTAAGTTCACAATTGGCGCCTTACGAATGAGCATGCACAAGTGTGACAAACAGATTTGTGATTTGCTTTTTGTGCTGCCGAGGGATCGAGTGAAAGCTGTTGTGAAGTATTGCAGCGATCCTCGTCGCCGGGGTAAGTTCATCAGGTGGGCCTCCCTATCAATTCATTGCGAATGTTTCCATGCGAGCCCCTTTGCAGGAGGGACATCTACCAGAGCTCTTTGAAATACTACTGGGTGGAGGAGCAGGTGTCAGGCACTTATGAGATGGAGGAGAGCGAGGCCTTCAACGAGACCTCTTTTGCAGAGGGTGTTGGCGACAGCACCCTGACCTTTGGAGGGCCAGCCACCAGCACTGACCCGCTTGGGCTGCCAGGTGCCAGCATGGCTGTGGATTCGCCGGTTCAGACCGATGAGGAGGATGTTGAGGAGTCAAGCGTGGCCCCTGCCCGTGTTTCCCGACAAGATGAAATGCGCCAAGAGATTGTTCTTGAGGCATGAGTTTCTTTTCAAGTGCATCAGCCAAAGCATTAATTCAATATTAGATTCTCATGTGGTTCCTTCTTGGCCGGCCTCCATCCATGCAGGCGGCGGAGAACGCACTGGACGTCATGGGGAAACTCCTCAAGGTGCAGGGCAGAATGCAGGAAGTGCAGGACAAACTGGAGCCCATGAAGACCACTGATTCGCAACAGCCTTCAAACTGCATGTAGTCATGTTTCGAAATTAGGTGTGGCACCGTGCTACATGTGCTTGCTCCAACATGTGGGGGCATTGATCAACAAGATCATCGGATTGCACGATGAACTGGCTGACATTAAGTCAGAACTGGATGCTTCTGCGGGAGAGGCTTCACCGACGCAAGCTTGCATATATGTAACTGCACCCATGTCCCATCTTGACTTACATGTCTTCCATGTTATCTAGTGTTCAAAGCCAAGGAAGTGCCTAGACCAGCTGAAGGATGTTGTCAAGAAGGTGGACTCAGTGTGCCTCAACTGATTCTCTATCATGGACTCTTGTACCCTAGCATCGCATGCAACATTTCCTGCGTTCAAAACTTCAAGGTGCTCTCGGGCGATGAGTGAGGAGATGAAACTCAAGAAGCTAGGGCCCTAGACCTGTATGAATGAAGCTCCACAACACCCTTGCCTGCTTGTTGTTGCAACAACCCAACTCTGTTTGCGCCCTAGGACGATCCTGAAGCCGAAGCTCAAGACCTCTCCCAAGCCAAAGATCGACAAGCCTGACAAGGGCACACCTGCACCAAGTGAGCCTGCAGCCAAGACTTCGAAACCTAGATCGAAGTCGGAGGGAAGCCAGCCACCTGTGAAAAGGGCCAAGAGGGCCTCCAAGAAGAGTGCGTAGATTTCAAGAGCGTCAAAGCTGCTGCCCCAAAGGCTAAGTAATTGAATCGCCAAATTCAAAAGCAATGGTAGCCCAAACATATATGCGTGCATGTGTTGTAGTTTCAGCATGGATGGATGGCATGCAGCTTGACGTGTGTTTTGGGTTCTTTGCAAAAGGCATGAAATCGGCTTTTTGCTGGCAGTGCAATCACAGCCTGCCACAGACTTCATGGGATTCAGCGCTGCAATGCAGCAACAGGGGTTCATCAGCGATGATCAAAGTCTATGCTTGCCTTTGCATAACATGTGATTTGCAGAAAGGGTTTCTTGCATTTGCCAATCTGGATTGCTTCCATGGACTCTCAATTGCCCTTCCCCTGCGTCAGGCCCCCGGACGGTCAAGCTCTGCGTGGGGCCTGCTGGCAAGGCGCTCGCAAAGGGCGGTGGCGAATGGGGTGTCTTGGAGTCTTTTTTTGGCATACCCTGTCTGGATTTGTTGCATTCAGCTGAAACACACTGAATGATGTATATCTTGATTTGTTTTAACATTTACAATGTTGGGTTTGGGGAACAAGGTATCTGAGAAGGAGGCCTGTGAGATTGCTGCCGCTATTGTGCAAGAAGCCTCAAAGGTGACATTGGGGGGGGCTTTGGAGTCCGAGCAGCTCTTGCAGGACATGAGTCGTTTGCACCACACTGGCCATGAAGCAAGACTATTCCTGGCATTTGACAACGCAGGGTTGGTGGCGCAGGTGCCCACTGTATTTGTGGATTGTGGGCCTGATGCAAATGCTCACCCTGTCCTTCCTTTGAGGGGCTTTTTGAAATGCCTTGAAGCGAGCAACAAATTGAACTTGGTCCTGACTGCCTCACCTGCAACCTATGCAGAATTTTGGGACAAGTACCGCCCCCACCGACCAAAACATCCATGCTTTACCCTCCACACAGATCAGGAACTAGCTGCGTGTGTGCCCATTCTACTTCATGCTGATGAGGCGCAAACCTTGAAAAAGAAACAGTTAATGATCCTGCAGTTCCAGCCCTTGTTTGGAGCCGGTTCTTCCAGAGCTGCTGGCCTGAATTACACTGGGTCCTCTTTGACAAGCCGGTTTCTGTACAGTGTGATGGCAGCTCGTGTCTACAGCAAAAGTAAGTCAGAAACACTCCTGAACTTGACGGAGCACTTTGCCAATGAGCTTGCATCCCTTTGTGCTGATGGAATCGTTCTTGGTGGTCGTTGCTACTGGCTTATCCCGATAGGAATGAAAGGAGATTGGCCGGCGCTTTGCAAGCTGGGTCAGTTGACACGACATTTCTTGAGAAACAAATCTGGTGAGGGAAAGATGGTCGGAATTTGCCACATGTGCAAGGCAGGTCAACGTGACCAAGCTTGGCACATCACGGACGAGCAACATATGGATACGCTTCACCAAGACGCAGGTGTTCCCTGGACAACACCATCCCCTTCACCCGCATCATCCCCCAGGATCCAGACAAAAAGCCTGAGTTTTATCGAGTGGACCTTTTCCATACCCTGCACAAAGGGGTCTTCGGAGATGTTGCGGCCAATGCTGTGGACCCTCATCATCACAATCGCCAATATAGTTGTTTTGCAATTTGAGTTCTAGTGAAACTGAAAAGGTGTGCACACATTCTCACATTGGCAGTGGGGACAGCGCAGCCCAGGTAAATGTGATGGACTTTGATCTCATGGGTGAAGGTTCTGTCCCAGTAAAGCTGGGGGTGATCTTTGAGGATCTTCAGAAGTATTGCTACGACCAAAGCTTGCAATTGCACATGAGTGGCTTGACGCGAACTTTGCTGAGCTTTGATCGTGATCAATCTTACCCTGCTGGGCCCTAGGGCTGCAAATTAGCACAATTTCAAGCAGGTCAGCCTACAGATTCCAGTTTTTGTGTGATGTCCTTTTGGCCCTTGGGCATGTTGAACATGTTTCTGAGGTCATGGTTCAAAGGGGCGCTGACACAACTAGCTTGTGCCTCTACTTGGAGAGCAAGTACTTGACCCTGATCGCAGACAACCCTGAACATGAGCACAAAGGATATTTCTGCAACATTTTGGAGACCTTGAAAGCTGCCAACGTGTTTCTGAAAACGCTTTACCATGCCTCCGTGTGGCTCACTTCCCAAGAACGGTCCCTGGCTTTGACGTCTTCTGACAGGTTCTTCCAAGCTTTTGCTGCCTGTGCCAACTACGCGTACTCCATTGGCAAAGCGAGATGGAAATACATTCCTAAGTTTCACATGTTTGCAGAGATTGCTTGGCGTCTTCGCAAGGATCAATCATCCAGTCTTTACAGTTTGAACCCAGTCTGCGAAGCCACACAAGTTGACGAAGACTTCGTGGGACGTGTGTCAACCATGTCGAGGGCTGTGAGCATTAGGACTCAACACTTTAAGACCTTAGAAAGATATCGGCTGGGGCTAGCAGCTAGGTGGTAGCATGTTTTTTTTGCAGAAAACAAACATCACTTCCGTGCCCCTTGCTGCGAGCCTCCCGATCAAAGATGAAGCCTTGCATGGCTCAGCCTAGGAAATCGGCTGAGCCCTCTTGCGTGCCGAATGGCAAAGCATGATGCATGGATGCATTGCTGTGCGCATGAAAAGGCTCGGAGTCAGGCAGGCTGGATGTCCACGAAGAGCAGCTTGTCTTGAGGCATCTCATAGGCTAGCGGGGGCGGTCACTTTTGCAGAACGAACTGGCAAGCCTTAAGTTGTTGAGACAGAATAATGCTTATAGAATTGCAAAAACGGGACACTATTTGCAGTTGCTTGTTTTTCAATGCAACTTGGCTTTCTAGGAAGGGAGAGTTCGTGGATTGGCGTCCTCGCCCACCCTCTGGAATGAAACCAAACTGATACAGAGCAAGCAGAAAAGCCTGAGCAAGACTCCAAAACCGGGAGGGGGGCAAGGTCCTTCAGTAGAGAGGTTAGAACAAGGGTACCAACTTTTTTCCGTAGTCTGTTTTAGTAGGGGACCCCTCCCCACCAAAACAGTGGGTCAACGGGCACTACTGGCGGACCTAGAGAACCCACAAAGAGGCGCCCCCCTTCTCGTCCCCAAGAATTGCCTTCTCGAGGTGGGCGAAGAGAAGCTCAGAAAGCCGCTGATTGCCTGAGGAAAAGCTCCCGAAGCCACACTCGTCGTGAGCCCGGTGGTTTGGAAGCCACAAGTCGGGTGTCCCATTCAGCCTCAAGAATTAGGGGACTTCGAATCCCAAAATGGCTGGGGGTTCAATCCTTTCATCCTGGTTTCCCCTTAAACCTGCCCCCAAAAGTTGGAACGCACGCAACAAACGCATGCACAAACACAAGCATGTGTCAATGCGCCGAGTACACAGCTGCCAACAAAACCTTTTGCAAGTTTAAGAACAGATTGGGAAGTTGCATCCCTCAGTTTAAGGGGCTGTCAAATGTGCGTGAGTGCGTGATAGTGCGTGCGTGCGCGCATGCGTGGGTTAGGTGCGTGTGTGCGCATATAACTATCCGCCTGTTTTTAGATCCACCACAAACAAATGGTGCGGTGTTCCAAGGCTAATCTAAGGAGCCCCGGAGAATGATACGAGCTGAACAACTTGTGGGACCTTTGATGGACCAAAAGAAAACCAACATCTGAGGTTCGTTGATATGCTTTGGAGTGAGCAGGTCGGCATGATGCACCAACAACTGGGACCCCTGACAAAAAAAGACAGACGACATGCCAGAAAACATACTAAACGAGTCAAAAGATGTGCTAGCAAAGAACACATAGTTTCGTTCATTAGGGATTTTAAAGGGAAACCCTCGCCAAAATGAGGAAGGAAAAATAATGTCCAACTGGGCGTCTGGGTTGCAGTGAGCAAGTCTAAGTCCAGTTAAATTCAGTGCCCTTTAAAACCAGGCTGACATTTAAAAAGCCAGTAGCGAAATCGATTATCTCTAAATCCAACCGTTTAAAAACATAAAATAAACGATGAGAAGCAAATTGAAGAAACCCTATTTCCTTTGGTTGCTGTTGACCCCTCTGCAAACTGTTTAACTTTTTGTAGGTCCGATGCAAAATCCCAGCTGTTTCCACAACAACAAAAATCATTTCAGCACATGGAAGCCAACTGTGCCTTGCCCATGGACAATTAACCGTATGCTGGATGCCGTACGCCGTGAAATCAATTCCCTTTGAATCCAAAGGGAATTCAACACATCCCCAAACAAATTTAGAAATGGAATTGAAAGGGCCCCAAATTGAAAGGGCCCCAGCTAACAAAGCAAAACACCATCTCGGAACCGTCTAAAGAGTCTGGGAGGTCAAAGTTAGATTGTTTTTTTGGTATCACAGACATGGTTCGATAAACCCCGCAACCCTGAGAGAAAGCATCAGGTCTCCTCAAGTCAGGGCTCCTCAAGTACCCCAGGCCGCTGACCGATCCGCTCTGATCGATCTGATCGGATCGATCGCCCGGTCCCATCAACCATAAAAGGATATCCCAATTGACCCTTCCAGGTAGCTTTGGTTTGGGGTAGCTTCGCTGAGACCTCTGGGTCCAGGCAGCTTCGGTTTGGGGTAGCTTCGGTTTGACCCCTGGGTCCAGGTAGCTTTGGTTTGGGGTAGCTTCGGTTTGGGGTAGCTTCGGTTTGACCCCTGGGTCCAGGTAGCTTCGGTTGGAGCCTTCCAGCTAGCCCCCGTGACAAGCAGCTCTCCCTCTCAATGAGCTTCGCTTCTTCCACCGCGTCCTCCCAAGTGATCTGCTGCTTCAGGCCGCAGGACCGTAAGGCTTGCCAAATGAACCCAGCCTCAGCTGCAGGGCCTGGGGGCTCGGATGCAGCGCATCCGTGTGCCTCTGTTTTTTTTTGCGCCTTTCTGTGGGAAACAAACCAAAAACACAAAGCAAATACACAAAGCAAAAAAGCAAACCGCTACATTGAAACAAGAAAAGAAAAACACTACTTCGCTTCGAGCAATCCCCACTCTCTACACTTACGAGCTCACGCACGACTGTGAACACGGTTGTGTGAATGAATTCAAGCATGGTTTTCGAGTGGTTTGGGGCCTATGACTGCTTAACAAGCTTTGCATTCAGAGCCTTATTCACCTGTCTGTGCGTCAAACTCCATTTGTCTGCGAGCCGATCTCGAGAACTCAAACATCGGTTCAGTTAACAAAAGCCAAGCCCCTTCCAAAAAGAAACCCGGCGGGGGATTAAACGAAGTTGCATATTCACAGCCCAAAGCAACACAAAAGCATCACCCTTTCCGAGCCTCAAGGTACACTCAAAACACGAAGGCACCAACATGAAATGTAAACCCAACTGCGCGCCGGGCGGGACAAAGCCAGACTGGCGAGCTGCTGCGGCGGGATACTGGCGGGATCCACTGGCGAATACTGGCGAGCCGCTCCGGCTCGATACTGGCCGGATACTCGGCAAGATCAACCGGCAAGGGATACTCAGCGGGATACTTGGCGCGATCCACTGGCGAGCTACTCTGGGAGGGTACTCGGCGGGATCCACTGCAGCGCGATCCACTGGCGAGCCGCTCTGGCGGGATACTCGGCAGGATCCACTGGCGAGCCGCTCTGGCGGGATACACGCTGGCGAGCAGCTCTGGCGGGATACTGGGCGGGATCCACCGGCGAGCAGCTCTGGAGGGATACTCGGCGGGAGCCACTGTGGCGAGGGGCGGGGTGTAGAAGCATCGCAAACGCGGATTCCATCATAAAATCTAACAGCCCCTTCCTGTCGGGTGGGGAACAAATAAATGTCCTGTAGTGAAAAATCGGTTCCCTTGAACACCAACAAGCGAACACATATGCCATTATTAAGCCACAACTGACTCATGCACAACCTGCTATGCCCCGCTAGGGGGTGTCTCCCTGCAAAAGTGATGCCCCCCGCCCCAAAAGGGCACACCCTCCCTTTATTCATCCAGATGTACATCACGTGCAAGTATGGCAGGAACCAGATACAGGGGTCGTCAAATCTCCTGGATGCAGTCTCACTAACAGAGTTCCTCACATATGATCCCCGACCTCACCTGGCCTTCCTTCTTACTTAAGGGTAATGATGGGACATGTGTGCAAAATGTAAAACCCGGGCGCTCGGGATCTAACGCAACATGCATTAACTGCACCATCCCCTAGTTGATGTTCAAGGAAGAAGTCCCAAAAGTGCGAAGCAACAATCATCTACCTGCGGTGTGTGTCCAACAAGCAGCTTCTGCAAACCTTATGGCAAGGTAAAACGGAATATTCAACCAGTGTATGCGTGCATTCGCACGCAAACGCCGCCGAGAAAAAAAAAGTCGCATGGAAGCTTACATGACAAACTCAGTGAGCAGAAACCTGTGGCACCCGGACTTTGAACAAAGTTGTATTCTCAGGAAATACTTTACTACAAATGGAACCTCGAAAACCCATCCATTTGTAGAGGAAAACACTTGTTTTTGATTCCATGTCAAGTCATAGGAGAGTATCTATGATAAATGTCGCAAGGTGCTTCACCGGGTTTATATCATCATCATCATCATCAACATCAACATGTCCCGCTGGCCAACCTCTTAGAAGAACAGCTGGAAACACGACACGAGACCTCGCGAAAATGCCCATTGTGAAAAGCCATAAATTGTTCCCAGCAGCTGGGCAAAGTTACTCATGGTCAAAACTGGGGGCCCTACATGGAATATTGATCAACCCGGCCAAGTAGAATTAAACCAAGGCGTGTTGGGCGTGTTGGGCGCTCCGAAGGGATTTTTTTTCTGCCAGCTTTTGGGGTTCTCCCCGCGCTGCTGCTTCGCCAGGCTGCTTCGTTTCCAAAGGGCTTCATGGCCTCCGAAGGGATCTCCGGCCGACCTGTCCGCCCGGATCTCCCCGGGAAAGTGACCGAATGGTCAGATCTCTTGTTCCAAGTGAAGGGTCAAATGGAAAGGCAACCGCTAAACCAACTAAAAAAGTACAGAAGCTAAGGAACCAAATGGCTGGTGTGAACCTCTATGGCAAGGGTCCAACATGCGCTAGAAAAGGAAAGCCAGGCTTAATAAGTTCGTGCCTCTAAGGAACATACATCCCTTTAGCTTCTGGATGCAAAGAGAGCACTCTGCAAGGACTGACATGTACAGCAACTATGGGCTCACAGCATCTGGCACGGTTTCGAAATGCAGTACACCAGCAAAACAATCATTTGATTCCTCAGTAAGAGCCAGCAAGGCAATCAAGGACAGCTGGGTGACTCAGTGGGTGTGCCTTTTTTTGAGGGAGCCCCCTTTTGGTTGATTTCAACGGCAAACCAAAAGGAACACAATTTTGGGGTTATGTGAAGTAAAGCGACCTTACACACTTCTCACCCGCGATAGAAGTGCCTTCTCAGGGGCCGCTTGCCTTGTCATCCCCCCAAGCAAGGAGTAATCAGGGTCTTTCTTGGTGGTTTCAAAGGGAACAACCAAAAGGAAGACCTAGCATGTTGGGAGCTGGTTGTAACCCAAAAGAATGGCACCCAACGAAACCCCCGCAACCCTCTGAAAGCTGCCCCAAACCACCCCGAAAGTCGCCCAGTCGCCCATCCAGGTCCCAGAGCTGAAAGAGCTGTTGCGAAAGAAAGCACCAAAGGAACACGATTGGCCTGTTTTCGGCCTTAGCCGCTATTAGCCTGGGGGGCCTACAACTCCACTAGTTGGCAGGCTCGACTCAGTATTCATGGGGCTTCATCCATTCCAGCTGGTGCAGGCTTTTATCCACCCGCAGTCGTGTTAACCCCGGAGTAATAAGCCCCTGGTTGATTAGTAGGGGGGTGTCCCCTTTTAGTGGGGATTCATCACTTTTGGAGGGAACACCCCCCCAATAATGGGACGGGTTTATTCATCCTGGGTCAACATTGGGGGGGCCTCACAACCACAGGAGAAACGCCGTCGGCGCCTTGGCGAACTACGTGCAAAGCTGGAAGGTCGGCCTTCGGATCGAAGGCCTGCTCGATCGTCACGTGCCTGGCCCGTCAGTCCGTTCGCAAATGTGTTTGAAAGTCGGTCGGGAACCACCAATGATTGTCCTTGCGCCAAACAAGTTGATTAGCAACATATGCATTTTGAGGAGTGCAACATGTCAGGGAGATATATAGACTATGTATATTACATTTACATACAGCTCCCTTCCAATCAGCTATCCAACATGAGCTAGGAGCGTCAACGTGTTTTGGCGTTGAGGCGTCTCTTGAACGGGGGCCAACACACTTCTCAGCCCAAGCGGTAGCAAGCATCTAGTCTTTTGCCGCCTGAGCGGTTGCAAAAACCAACGCATATTCGTTGGTTGGGCAGCAAGCAAAAAAATGCTGAAATTGCTCCGATTTACCAACCTCATTCAAGGAATCCTCAAGCAGAGGCCTTTGTCGTGGGTAAGCCCGTTCTAGCCCGGTGAGCTCACTGCGCGTAGCGCAGAACTGTGGGCAATCGTCCCAACCCTGCTCAATGCATTTGATTTTGCATACATCCCACATAATGTTGACCCAGGATTGATAAACCCGTCCCATTATTCGGGGGGTGTTCCCTCCAAAAGTGATGAATCCCCACTAAAAGGGGACACCCCCTATTAATCAACCAGGGGCTTATTAATCCGGGGTTGACATTAAAACCTGTATATCGCTCAGTTGCTGAATGATTTACAGTGCGCATCTGTTCATACATATATATATATACATATATATATATATGTGCAAGGACCCGTGCATGTCAAAGTGTCCTTGTTGCAGCCCACTAGACTTGCACATACTCAAACAATCAACGAAACTAAAACCCCTAATTGCCAGAAGCAGCTCTTGCCAACCCAAGTTCAACTGATATCCCCTCAGGCAGGTATGCCCCTTATAAACATCTTCTATGTCTCCCCCAAGGTAGCGGACATGAGCGGGTGTTGCTCCGAAATCCCCAAGGAAACCCTTGCAAATCCTGGGCGAGGCTTGGGCCAACCCTGCTTGTCATTTGCATGGAGATTCATGTCTACTCTCCACCCTTACCTTGGGCCGAGGGAGCATGCCAAATGGTGAGCCTGTAACGCGGCCATATCTGATATATCTGCCTGAAAAAACAAATTATGCAACCAGTAATCTCGCCGCACACGCTATAGTATTTGAACCTGTGTCTAGGCACAGCTTCTTTCTCTGAAGCCAAACGTTTGAGGGGTAACCTTCGAGAATGGTAAAATGATGGGACCTGTTTAATTAGGAGTTTGAAATCGGTCGTTGTCAAAGGGTCTGGGCAATTGGCTATAAATCACCCTCAAACCGGGAAACAAATGAAAGCCTTCACGGACCTTCATCACAGGCAAAATCGCTCGTTTTACCCCCGAACCACTGAGCCCGTTACAAGTTTGAAATTCCCAAGAATCCCCCGCACCAACTTCCGTTCTCTTCCAATTGCTTAATGAAGCCACCCCAAAAGAGATGAAATTAAACAATGTCCCAGTGATAACAACCAGGGGAAAACTAAGCATGTTCATTGGACACTTCACATGGTAGGCGTTCGAGGCCTTGACTAGGTCCTCCAATAGAGAGGTTTAGAACAAGGGTACCAAATTTTTCTGTTGTTTATTTTAGTAGGGGAACCCTCCCCCAAAACAAGTTGGTAAAAGGCCACAACTGGGGGACCTAGTTGATGTCCCCTCCAAAATCGGATCGCCGAGGTGCCCGGAGGTGGTGGGCAGCCAGGCCACACCCTGCACCAGCCCAGCCAGCTCCTGCGACCATCTGTTTTTTCCCGCTTTGCCTCGGTTCCTGCGTTTGTCTTGGGTGCCTTCTTCCATTTGTGTGCTTCGTTCCCCAGAGAAAAACACGCAAAAGCTATCTGGTCACCAGCTGTTCTTTGCTCAACAGACCAAGCACCACTAACCTCAATTTGTGTGTTTCTTGCCCTCTGCACGAATGAAAACTTTTATGTCCGATAGTGATAGGTTCCCTCTAGAAACCAACGTTGACATGGCGAATTGAAAAGGGCATTCTTGAGCAAATGGATGGCTCACCCCCATTGAACAATTGTTGACCCAATTTAGATGTGGAAACCCCTCACGTAAACAATGGTGGTTATATGGGCTTGCCTTACAGTACGGGAATGCTCCAAATGGTGGGTTACCTCGTGGGTTTCCTTTTGGTCTCTCTGTGAAACCACTCCACCCATATGAGCCCTTATTGTTTTAATGGCGTTTGGAACCCCAAGGGTGTTTCAAGACAGGCAATGGCACGAATAGTCCTAGAGCTCGCCACTGGCGGCATGAAGTACAAAAACTACAACAATAAGAACAAGGACAAGTATAATAATAAAAGAAAATTAGTAATAACTATAACGATAACGTCAACGACAACAACAACGACGGCGTCAACGAAAACAACAACAACGACAACGTCAAATACAACAACAACTACGACAACGACAACGCAAACGACAGCGACCACAACGTCAACGTCAACGTCAACGTCAACGCCAACGCCAATGCCAACGCCAACGTCTCCGTCAACGTCAACGTCAACGTCAACGTCAACAACAACAACAACAACAACAACAACAACAACAACAACAACAACAACAACAACAACCACAACCACAACCGCAACCACAACCACAACCACAACCACAACCACAACCACAACCACAACCACAACCACAACCACAACCACGACGACAACCACAACCACAACCACGACAACAACGGCGACAACGACAACGAACAACTGCAAACAACAACATCAACACAAACAAAAACAAAAAACAACAACCAAACAACAAAACAAACAACCAACAAACCAACCAACAAACAAACCAACCAACCAACCAACCAACAAACAAACAAACAAACCAACAACCAACAACCAACAACCAACAACCAACAACCAACAACCAACAACCAACAACCAAAAACCAAAAACCAACAACCAACAACCAACAACCAACAACCAACAACCAAAAACCAACAACCAGCAACCACCAACCAACAACCAGCAACCAGCAACCAACAACCAGCAACCAGCAACCAACAACCAACAACCAACACCAACACCAACAACACCAACACCAACACCAACACCAACAACAACAACAACAACAACAACAACAACAACAACAACAGCAACAACAACAACAACAACGACGACGACGACGACGACGACGACGACGACGACGACGACGACGACAACAACAACAACAACAACAACAAAAACAAACAACAAACAGCAAACAACAAACAACAAACAACAAACAACAAACAACAAACAACAAACAACAAACAACAAACAACAAACAACAACGACAACGACAACGACAACGACAACGACAACGACAACGACAACGACAACGACAACGACACCGACAACGACAACGACAACGACAACGACAACGACAACGACAACGACAACGACAACGACAACGACAACGACAACGACAACGACAACGACAACAACAACAACAACAACAACAACAACAACAACAACAACAACAACAACAACAACAGCAGCAGCAGCAGCAGCAACAACAACAACAACGACAACGACAACCACAAAAACAACAACAACAACAACAACAACAACAACAACAACAACAACAACAACAACAACAACAACACACCAACAACAACAACAACAACAACAACAACAACAACAACAACAACAACAACAACAACAACAACAACAACAACAACAACAACAACAACAACAACAACAACAATAACAAGGTAAAGAACCAAGATCAAGAACAAGAGCAAGAACAACACCAATGACAACAATAGCGGCAATGACATCAACAACTACAACGACAACGACAACGACAAGTGTCACGACAACCACAACCACGACAACGACGACGAGGATGACAACAACACCAACACCAACATTGATATCTACACCGACGCCAACACCAACACCACCACCACCAACCACAACAACAACAACGACGACGACGACGACGACGGCAATGACAACGACAGCAACTACAACAAGCAACAGCAGTAGCAACAGCAGCCACAAAAAAAAAAAAAAAAACAACAACAACAACAGCATAGCAACAACACTAGCCACAACAACAACAACCACAACAGTAGCAACAACAACCACAACCAACAACCAACAACCAACAACCACGACAATCACAACCACAACAACAACCAACAACCAACAAGCAACAACCAAAAACCAAAAACCAACAACCAACAACCAACAACCAAAAACCAGCAACCAGCAACCAACAACCAACAACCAGCAACCAGCAACCAACAACCAGCAACCAGCAACCAACAACCAACAACCAACAACCAACAACCAACAACCAACAACCAACAACCAACAACCAACAACCAACAACCAACAACCAACAACCAACAACCAACAACCAACAACCAACAACCAACAACCAACAACCAGCAACCAACAACCAACAACCAACAACCAACAACCAACAACCAACAACCAACAACCAACAACCACAACAACAACAACAAGAACAATAACAAGAACAATAACAACAAGGACGACAACAAAAACAGCAAAAACAACAACAACAACAACAACAACAACAACAACAACAACAACAACAACAACAACAACAACAACAACAACAACAACAACCAACAACCAACAACCAACAACCAACAACCAACAACCAAC